ATAATTATTGAATTATTTAAATTATTTATTATATATTTAAATATTAATATTTAATAAAATAAATTTAAAAACCTTTATTTTTATTTTTTAAAAATATTATAAAACTAATATATACGTACCTTTAATCATCATATCATCATTATTATTATTATTATTATTAGTAGTAGTAGTGTCTTTAGGAAAGGTGTGGGTGCCTTTAACGGTCCCTTCATTGACACGCCTCTTCCCGAGGCAAGCTGCCAACTTGCCAACCCCACCGCCCAAACGGACTCGTGGGACCCATCAAGTTGAACTCACCAAATGTGCAATGACCACCCCTTTCTCTGTGTTGGACTTGGGCTTGTGGAGAAAGTGAAATTCTGTTTGGACTTAATAATTTACAGCCCATTTTTTTGGCCCATAATGCTCTATCTTCCGCTTTGTAGATTTTTTTTCATCTAAACCAGGCCTACAGCCCACTAGTTCTTAGATTACAAAAATTATCGTTAAAATAAATAAAGCTAGCAACTCTTAGTAACAAATCAGAGTGGCGCAGCGGAAGCGTGGTGGGCCCATAACCCACAGGTCCCAGGATCGAAACCTGGCTCTGATATAAAAGAGTAGCTCGGCTGGCGGCCATCCCCCTTTTAGTAGGTTGTTCATTTATTTTCTCTTGTTATTATTACTATTTTTTAATATAACTGTGTTTATGAGTAATTAGTATGACCTATGACTATAAATTAATTAAGTTAGATTTAATACTTTATTATTTTTTTAAATATTTCTTAAGAAGTAGATCTATGTAAAACTTTTAAAAAAAAAAAAATTCCTTAACTCAATAGTGGGTCTCATGAAAAATTGCTATCCTAATATTTGTTTCAAGGTATAAAAGTTTTTCACTAGACTAGAGTGATTATGTATTACAACAGCAATTAAGTTGTTGTTGGCTTATATAATTTGCTGACATTGAAATATTTGCACAGCCAGGACTAGGGGAATTGATTTTTTGAGGTGGGTAATGGCAATCTCTATTAACCATGGCCCTTAAGTAGGAGCACTTAATAATGGAGGTTGCTTAGGCAACCATCATTGTCCTATACCCACCTTCAAAGTTAAGCGCCTACCAATGAATGTTTTCCAAATTGATAGCATATATCATCATTAATTATATATTATATAAGCTGCAAAATTTTCCAAATGTTGGAGTCAAATTCAAGGAAAACCCCCACCCCCCCCCACCCCCCCCTGCAAAAACGTGATATTGATAAAATTTTCATTGTTTCCCTTTCAACAATTGACATGAGTGTATATACAATAAAACCCTTTTTTTTTTTTAACCTCAAGAAAATATATATCATGATTTACATGTTGACAAATAATGCTATACATTATGTTGATGATGAATGTCCATACACCATTGTGGGAAGAAGAGCAATCAATTGCAGTGCAGGGAAGGATTAGACAGGGCAATGGCCAAATGGAGATGGTTGATATCAATGGTGGTGCTGGAGTCTGGACCCATATACGTGGGATTAATCGGCAACTACCATGATTGAGTCATGTGAGCTACGCCAAGAAATGGTGTACAATATCTCCAAGGATACTTGAAGACTGAAGAGAAGAAGAAGAAGGAATTCATTTCCTCATTGACTACAGCACATACAAAACATATATCCATCCCCTCATACTCAGAGGCTGGTGTGGTTGTAGTAAAAGAAGAAATAAGTGTAGGTTTGAGTATTATAGTACTCTTCAGTTGGCACAACATCCCTTATTCAAAATGGAATCATTAGGGGCTCAAATTCATTTCTCACTCCCACAGAACATGTATACATAGATATATACATCTGATCTGTTCGTATGTAACTATGTATGTATGCATACACACACCAGTGTACACCAAATCTTCTAAAGATGTGATCATCATCATATAAACCAAGGGTTTGTTAATGTGATAATTGGGAAATAGCAGAAAGTCTAAAAGTGTCTGCTTAAAACAATGAAAGCCAAATAAATATATTCTATTTCCAAATAGAATGTGAGAAAAGGATGAGAAAATGTCAAATGGATGAATACAAAAAATACCACCACCATCATCAATGTCATCGAATGTAGAGAGAATTTAAATGGGATAGATGATGGGGTTTTTCCAGGCCTTCAATATTAAATTTGACTCTTAGATCTCTGTGTTCAAAGCAGATATCATGACAGAAACTAAAATAGTGGACAGGAAAGACATAGAACAATGAAAAAAGTGAAAATTAAAACGTACTCTCTATAAAATTGTTCAAATATTCTTAATAATTTTTTTTATATTTAATTTATTAAAAATATTTTAATTTTTTTATTATCATTCTTAGCATTTTAATTGCCAGGATGTCTTAATTTTCCTTAATCCCTATAAGAATATGCGAAATGCGGAAATGTTCCCCCCTTCTAATTGTTCATAAAGCCATAGTTTTGTCAAAGCACATGCTCCTCCTGAGTCTCCAAATAAAGAAGATGATGTTGTGAAGCAACTTGTAACTAGCCTAACAACCATTGACATACCCATGCTGACTTCTCTATAATTTTCCAGAGCTTAGACTAGCAATGACACAATCTAAATTGGAATTAGATGAATAAACCAAGATTATAAGCTTATTAAGAGCGTGGACAAATCTGTTTTCTCCACATGGGCAGATATTTTTACATGTGATGAGAGGGAAGACAACACGGATTTTAATTAATCTCATACTTGTTTCTCATTGGGTGATTGGATTTCTAAGTCTGTTTAATCATAAGAAGAGGAGACTGGAGGCATTGGTGATAGAACATTCCATCTTCTTTTGGGGTTTTTCTTGTTCATTGATCAACATTTTGGTTGCTTACCTTTGCAATAATGAGTCCAATTGTCATCATTACCACTGAAGAGATGTCTCACTCTTTCTCTCTCTCATTCACGCTCTCATCTACACGCCCACCAGAAAAAAAAAACACATGGAAATAGCATAAACCATACCATCCACCAATATTTATAGGAGCTTACCTTCCCTCAATTCCCATCCATCATTTTCAGTTATAACTTCTTCTTTCCCATTCCCATTCTATTCCAATGTGCAGCAACAACATGAATTGGCTTCCTTCTCATCCTGCGAGAAAGCAAAGATCAAAGCAATCCAAGTCTCAAATTTACAGACTTTCCAGGTAGGTGAATTCGTGAATTAGTTAATCCATATAGAGACAAAGGGAATAAATATATAACCTTTATATACCTCTGTAAATTGTCCTGATCATGCATGCATATCTAAACCTACGCAGGAAGAGATGTGAAGAAAAGGTGGAGGAGGACATAGAACTCAAGAACTTGAAGCTGTATCTGGAGAATCAAAGCATCATAGAAGAGAATGAAAAGCTAAGGAAGAAAGCCAATCTCCTTCATCAAGAGAACTTAGCTTTAATGTCAGAGTTCCAAAAAAAATTTCCAAATTTGGATCGCTACTCAACTACCCTCTTGCTTCTGCATAAACAATGATGCAGAAGAAACAAAGAATTTCTGGCAACCCTCATCTTATACCTTCTTCCCTTTCACTCTCCAATGTCCATTCCCCTCTCCTACCTAATCTCTAATTCCATGCTATAAATATGTATCATGCCAGCACTATGCGTTAGAATTTTCTAGCAGTAGTAGTTGCAATATTCTTAAATGATATCAACTTTAGTTTTTCACTCAATATTTGAATTATATTTGCACCGTTCTGGTCTTTTAAGCAGGAAAGGTTAAATGGATAAAGGAAGTGCCTCTGTTGACACATAAATTCCAACAATAGATCACGGGACAAGCAGTTAGATGATTATTCATGTTTGTAAGATGCTTTTAATATATCAGAAATCAAACTTTTTTAAAGTCGAAAATTTTAATTATACAGACATAATTTAAATTGCATAGTCATGGATCATTGAGAGCTAGGCAGTTTAGCCTTCTTCTGTGATCCATGGCAAAGATATAGACGTAAAACATAACTTCTTGTCTCCTTAGTTCGTATTATACTTGACTTTCTCTCAAAATGGAAGAATCATCTCTAAAGTTGGTGATTTTTTTTTTTTTTCTTTTCAATTGTCAAAAATTCAGGAATTGCAATCTAGGAGATCCACTTTACATAATTGACATCAAGGAAAGTAATTTTGTACCAATGTGTTTGATCAAATACATCAGCATAACGTATCAAAATAGTATACGCTCTCAAGTCCAGCTGGCTGGTTGACTAACAAATCAGGAACAAAATCATAGAGGATTTCATAATATAAACACTGTTAAAACAAAACATTTGATTCCAAGGCTCCTTCTAACTAATCCACAGCAAGCACAAAAGAGAAATTCAAGGATATGTAATACAGCCCTTTTACCCTTGTGAAAAACTAGTCTGACTACCTTGTCACAACCCAAAAGGATACCAAGCTTCCAGCCTGCAATATAGCATTTCCTACAAAACAGAAACAGCTATGACTATAGTTGCAAGGTGGTGATTTTTAACCAACACGAAAGATTACCTTCCTACCGAGGTGTTTAGTCTTACCTCTCTAGTTATGAAATAACAAGAATATTTATTCAGGCCTTTGTAACAATATGCAGATGCAGGAACTTCAGAGCTTTTCAGAGCGTTCTTCAGATGATTTGTATATACGAAATGCAGCAAAACACATTGTAGCATTACCTATTACTGTCAATGCTGCTTGAAGAGCCACCAATACCTAAGACTCATAAAATATGTACTGAGTACAAGATCACGAGATAAAGATGCATGTTTAAGTCAATATAGACAAATAGGATAGCCATCATGGGGCTGCACTGGAGTTAAGACAAGTAATGTAGATAGTTGTCCATGAATAATTTTAAACCCACTGTATAATCT